GGTTACATAACTGGTTGAGTGAGGTTTGATGCCAACTAACAGATTTTTAATACCAGTCATGTGTCTTGAGCACCCACTGTCAAAGTATCAATCTTCCTTAGTAGAAACTTTTAGGGACATATGAGCTATGAGGCAAGTAGTATCAGTTTTAGGAACCCATTGCTTCTTGGAGAGAAGAGTGTTAGGTCTTGTTTGAGTGGTGGAGGTTGGATATCCATGTAGTTTGAAACAGAAGGACATTATATGCCCAAAGCGACCACAGTAATGACATCTCCATCTTTGGAATTTTCTTGGTTGATTGGTTTGTTTTCTGTCATGATGTTGAGACATCTGCTGGAACATCTTCTGCCTTGATTCAGAAGGTTTGTGATGAGAGGCAGAGTTATTGTCTTCATTGAACCCTAACCCTGTCTTGTCTTCAGATCTTTTGCCATATTGAAGGATCTCTTCTAAGGTTTTGGTACCACTGTTCATCATTCTAACAGACTTTCCCAGAGGGTCAAGTTGAGAAGTTAGTTGAGCAACTTTATCATTCAAACCCTTGATAATTGTCAGATGTTCCTCATTTTCAGTCTTCAGCTTGATGATGTGTTTCTTCTGTTTTTCACCTTGCTGGCAAACTTCTTCGCTTCTGAGGCACAGTTCTTTGTAGGAAGCTGTCAGTTCTTCAAAAGTTAAGTTGTCTTCATTGGAATCTTCATCAGAATAGTATCTTCTAGTTAAGACAGTTATATGCTTAGCAGATTCTTCTTCAATATCACTCTCAGAGTCTTCATCAGTCCATGAGACAGCTAGACCTTTTTGTTTCTTGAGATAGGTTGGGCATTCAGATCTGATGTGACCAAAGCCTTCACACCCATGACATTTTATCCCTTTGTTGTTCGTAGGTTTTTCTTCGGTTCTAGTTCTTCTTCCTGCATCATTTGACTCAATGATGTCAAGTGAGATGTTCTTGGTATTTGGTCTAGTATCCATTCTCTTCATTACCTTGTTGAATTGTCTTCCCAGCATAACTATGGCACTTGAGAGATTTGTATCCTCATCAGATTCATCCTCTCTTCTTTTAGTATTTGACACAAGGGCTATGCTCTTTTTCTGATTAGCTTTGTCACCTATTCCTACTTCAAAGGTTAGCAGAGATCCAATGAGTTCATCAACTCTCATCTTACAGATGTCTTGAGCTTCCTCTATGGCAGTTACTTTCATGTCAAATCTCTTGGGGAGAGATTTAAGAATTTTTCTTACCAACTTTTTTTCAGACATCTTTTCACCAAGAGCACTTGAAGCATTGGCAATCTCAATAATATTCATATGAAAGTCATGTATGCTTTCATCATCTTTCATTCTCAGGCTTTCACACTTAGTTGTAAGGAGTTGAAGGCTAGACATTTTTATCTTGGATGTGCCTTCATAAGTAGTCTTTAGAATCTCCCATGCTTCCTTAGCAATTTCACAGTTGATCACCAACCTGAATATGTTCTTGTCGATTCCATTGAACAAGGCATTCAAGGCCTTGGAGTTTCCTAGAGCTAGATCATCTTCTTCCTTTGTTCATTCTTCCTCAGGTTTTAATTCAGTTGTAGCCTTTCCATCTTTATCAACAATCATAGGATGTCTCCATCCCTTAATGACAACTTTCCATGCCTTACTGTCCAGAGACTTTAAGAAGGCAACCATTCTAGGTTTCCAGTAGTCATAATTGTTCCCGTCCAGAACGGGTGGTCTGTTCACAAATCCTCCTTCTTTGTCCATGGTACCAGAAAGTATCGTCCCTAGATCTCACCCAGAACCAGAGCAGGATGCATGCTCTGATACCAATTGAATTTCTGGTATCAGATATTAGATGTCGAAGGAGATGTTCCTGACACAAATATCTGTATAATAAGAACAAAGATAAACAAAAACAATTGTAAAGAGACACGGCAATTGTTAACCCAGTTCGGTGAAACCACACCTACGTCTGGGGGCTACCAAGCTAGGGAGAAAATTCACTACCAGTAGAATTAATTCAGAGCTAAACTCCCAGTTTACAACTCCTCGCTTAATCTCTACCTATGCAATTTCTGCCTAGAGTACACCTAGACAAGAGACACCTCTCACTCCCCCTCAATCACGCAGTGATAACAGTCAATAAAATAAAAAAGACTTTAGAAGGCACTCTTCAAAGTCACAACTTGATCTTGCTTAAAAGCTTCAATCAAGTACAATACACTCTTGCTTACAAGTTTTGAGTGAACAATTTACAATTAACAACTTAGTCCAATTCACACATTAATCAATGAGTGAATGACTCACAAAACTAACACACACGAAGGCTTAAGATGCACACACTTTTAATCCTTGCTTCTCTGATCTTCAAGCTAGGGTTTACGCCTCTTTAAATAGCAATGCAGAATGGGCTTGGGTTGTGGCAAAAGTAACAGCAGGTTTTGAGAAGATTCCAATCTTCATCAATAGCAACATATTTGATTTGATCAATCAGATCTAATCAAATCATTCTTCCAATCTTCAATCAATCTTTTGAGAATAACTCCATATCAAATCAAATCTAATCCACAATAAGTGTATCAGAAACACTTTTAAAACACTAATAAAACCTCGCAAATTCCACACCAGAATAGTGCAGCAGACTTGCACATAAAGAAATGGACAGACAAATATAATCATACATAATGTTTTGTCTATGAGTGTCAAGACATCTTGTTTGACATCATGAGATAAGTCTTGTTCAAGAGTCCAAAGCAACCTGCTGATCCTGACAGACGGATGTCACGACATCCTGTAGGACATCTTGCGATTACACCAAGTTTTACCAAAATGTCTGTCAATCAAAAACTAACAAGTTGTTCATCTCGAAAGAGCTGAACAACGGATGAGCTTCCTCAGCGTGGCTGCCATTTAACTTTGAATGCAAACTTCAAACCCAACATTGAGTCCAGTGCTAGAGGAAACTCTAGTGAATCAGTTATCCCTGCCTGTTGACGTAACATGAATCACGCCATATTAAAAAAATTTGCTCAACGTGAAGAAGTAATAGTTATTGGTAACCTCAAGCATTGTGGCCCTAGTTGAGCAGTAGATGTTTCTAATTGTTGGGAAGCTTCGTAGTCCCAGGACACAAAGTTCCCATGAGCACCATTCTGAACCACCTTGATTTATATCTTATACCTGCATTGGAAACAAGTGTTTGAGTGGTATGGTCAATTACTACTAATAGAGGTGTAAATGTTATTACCTCTGCATTTCTGCTTCAGTCTGATGCCCATCCCTGCGATAAAAAGGCAGATTGTCTCCCTTAGTAATCTGAAGACATTTGTGGCATGCCTTATAGTACCAACCTGAGGTGAAGCTATGAGTTTGTTCGTTGTTGCAACTGTAATGCAGAATGTGATTTGTATAAAAGCAACATACATAAACTATGTCAGAAAACATAAGTGTAGAGATAAAATACATACGAATTGAACATCAAGAGAAACCTCTAATAATTTGATAATTTGTTCCAGCAAAAGTTAGATCGCATTTGACATAATTTTTTCATATGGGATGAACTGAGATGATGACGATTGTTGTGACCAATCACAAGTCTAGGTGTTAAAATTGTTTCCAGCTTTCCCTGTCATGATTATATAAAGACGTAGATTTTGAGGAAATTTTGGAAGGATTCAAGGTTATAACAATTTTTAGGAGATAATATAAAATTGGTGAAATTTTTTGAAAAAATAATATAAAATTGGTGAAATCAAGATTCATACTTTCAACCTAATGTAAAAAAGAGGTAGTCAAGTGCAACAAGCTTTATAATACAAGACCCCAAATTTTAAGAGGTTCTAGATTTTTAAAAGTCCAATTTTTTTCACTAATATTAATATTAATAGGCTTAAAAATATTATAATAAAAAAAGTCAATAAATAAGTTATTATAAAAATCCAGTACATACAAAAAATGCAATTGATTAAAAGTCAAAATAATTATAATTAAATTTATTTTTCTATTAATTAATAATTATATTTTCAATTTTGCAAAATTCTTTCTATTCCTTATACTTCACTGACGATACTTTCTTGAATCAGGACAAACGTTTTGCAATGAATGCACTTCTATTTATTGCAGTTATATTCATATCTGCTGTGACATAGGTATAGAACAGCAAGCCACATTGTATGTAAGTAAGCACGCGTGCTTTCTACAGAATTTGGTATATCTTTACTTGTTTTCTGGTTCTTTGCATGTTTCTTTACGTCACTGTTCTGGTACATGCACAACTTTAATGACATACTTATGCTACACAGTAGTAGTAATATTTTCTCTGTATTTAGATACTACCCCACACGCCACACATTAGCAAATTGTTTGTTTTCCTACCACTATATGAAAAGACAATGGTCATGTCAGTCACAGACAGAAAACGCATTTTTAGTGTAAATTTAATTCAGTTTTCATCTTCCCAGGAAAAGTATCACCAAACATTTTTGAACATTTGTACCAAATATAGCAATGACCCTAACTAGTAGTAACTAGAAAGTTGAACCAAGAAGCAAAAAAAAAAGAAGAAAAATACTTAACTATTCTGGCATGTAAAATACTGGTATGATGCTGAGGGATTATCAATAATCCACTGCACAAACATGTTCTTCTATGATCCATATGGAGCAGTATTGAAATACATGTATGAACATCCATATCTAATCAATAACATAAACATAAACAATTTCGTAAACTCAATTTTCAGTAAAACTTCACCCTTGCTATATACGAATACAGAGAAACTCAAACCAAACAACAGCAGAAAAGAAAACAAAAGCTCAAAGCTCATCCACAATATCAAATAAACCTTCAGTGATCAGCGCAGCCATGACTTATAAACATCTATGATTCGGCCTTTAAAATATATATGCTTCCACCAAATAGAAAATTCATTTCCAATCAACAATATTAGCAACCAAAGAAGGGGAAAAATATAGAAAAAGGAATTTTTTTGATTTAATTACAAGCTCTCCGCATTAAGTGCCAGCATTGGGTAGAGCTGCCATAAAGGAATTGTAAGAAGACTCGAGATCAAAGTGAAGCTGCCGGGCCTGTTGTTCTGTCAACTCATCAGCTGCACCCATCTTCGATAACCTTGCAATCCAATCCTTCATTTTTATCTTCCCTTCGAAGTCCGGCGGCAAAATCGTCAACTTATTAAGTGAACCATTAAGATCTGAGAGCAAAGGATGCACCTGATCCACAGCCACCATGTTCAGTTTCAAGGAATCCATTGATGTAATAAAATTCTGAACACATTCAGCCACAATGGCCGCTGAGGTGGACGTGCCTGCTGCCGCAATGGCTCGATGCTCCACCGTAGCAGGCACACCCGATACCACAAGACGGTTAATTGCAGCCGGGCACTCCATCCTATAAGTATCCGCAAACCTCTCAATGCTAGGCACAGTGTCCTTAAGAGTAGAAGCTAGGGTTTTGAAATGAGCTATAAGCTTCTGGCACTCTATCTCATATTCTTGTGGTGTGATTACATCTCTAACATAGGCTTTCTCAAGCCTCTCAGTAGCCTTAATAATCGCATAAAGCTCAGCAAAGTTGTCGTACATTTCTCTCTCGCGCTTATCATTCCAGAGCTTAACTTCCATAATACTTCTTTCCTATACAGATTACACTGATGTATTCGTGGTGGTGGTGGTGGGGGATTGGAGAAGAGGACGGGACACGCGCAAAGAGAAGGGCCCTTCTTCACTGAAGAAAAAACATAATTAGCAAGTTAACTACTGTTATAAGATCACAAAACCATAAGGTATGATCTAAGAACTAACACCAATATTTCACAAACTAACATAAAAAAAAAAAAAAAAACTAGAAAACAATGAAGCTAGGGTTTCAAAATCATACCATTGATATATAAATAACAGATGAAGAAAAATAGCAAGAAATGTAACTTTCTCTCAGATAAACAATAAGCAATTCAATACAATCAACTATGTACTCTGGATTTCTACAATTTACCATTCAAATTGAAAAAATAAATTAAAAAATTGAATTTCAGGGTTTCTGAAATCTGAAATTTCTTACAAATTTTCCCAAAACCAAACAACATGAAAAGGGGCATAAAACAAAGAACTCAACGGTACAAGCAAATAAACAAGAAGTATATCAAAAAAATCTATCTAAAAAATAAGAAGAAACAGGAATTCAAGAAATTAATAAACTGAGAAACAAAGAATTAGAGAAAACGGAGGAATTAGCGGAATAAGAGGGTAAAAGAAATAGAGAGAGCGAAGGAGAAAACTTACAAGAACCAAAATGCGTTTATCGAACGGTGTGAATTGTGAGAATGAGGGGCGTTTCATATGGTTTGTATAGACACTAATCTGGTGCGGTAGGGTGTAGGATAGAGAGGGTGAGGTTGCGTGTGGGGTCCTACATAATATTATTTTGAACGTGTAGCAGTTGAAAACCAAATAATGTGAAACCAATGCTTCATTTTCTTCACTCGGATTAAAATACATGTCAGATTTGAATGGGTCGATATATTTAATCATCATAATGCATACCCCATTTTTGTTGGAATTTCACTATTTTTTTGTTTGTTTTTATTATGAGTATATATTTCAAAAAGTATAGTGTCTTGAAACCTAACTTAGACCTAACTATTTTGAATCAATTAAATTATGATAAATTGAATCATGAATGGTTATGAATTATTGATATGAATTTGAGTTTGAAGTTTAGGTAGAATCACTCTTATTAGATTTTATTTATCATTAAATCATTATAGACGACATATTCCTATATGATAACCGTTATATTGTGGTTGAAGTCGATATTATTTTCAAGTGTAATTAATTAATATTTAAAGAGATATTGTGTGGTATAAATGATTTGTGAGTTTAACACATATTAGACATGTTTTGTGAAGAATGTTCTTATATGATAAAAGATTTTTTTTTATGTGTAATCACTCAAGGAGTAGTTAACTTGTTAATAAAAGAAATATGTGTGCTAAGTTTGGTAGAGTTTGTAACTTTCATACCCTTAACATCGTTATTAAAGTTATTAAAGTTTAATAGTGGATACACTCTACTGTTATAGGTTATATTTTGAGGCACATGGTATCTAAGGTTACTATAAAAAGAGTTTGTAAAGACGTGACAATATTTTAATGACTTTTAGTTTGTGGTTGGGGTATCAGGTAGTGCTAAGGCTATTTTGTATAGTGACAATTGGATGTTGAGCAAGCTAAATTGAGATGGTTCATTAGTTATACTCATGACATGATAGATTTCTCGAATGCTTTTAATATGGTAGATTGTTCGACCTTACTATGCAAGGTAAAATGATATGTATGTATGTGTGTGTGTGTATATATATATATATAACATATCAAATGAGAGTGATTTTAAATGAGAGATGAGAGAAACAAATAACAATCATTAGATCAAATTAATAAGAGAGATGAAATGCAAGTTAATAAGAGAGAGAAATTAATATCACATTAATGAATAAGTATAATCATGATCTAATGGTTGTTGTTTGTTTCTCTAATCTCTCATTTAAAATCACTCTCATTTGATATTCTCCATGAATATATATATATATATATATATATATATATATATATATATATATATATATATATATATATATATATATATATATATATATATATATATATATATATATATATATATATATATATATATATATATATATATATATATATATATATATATATATTTCTTTATGAGTTGAATTTCTTTGTGGCCAGGCAAGAGGTTTGTACTTGGGGATAAACATATTATGTCCACCACTAAAGTGTAATAAGGCGACTCGTTGGATCCGTTCATTTTTGCTCTTGTGTTACACCCTTTTACTCATAAGATCAAAGATACTTGTAAGCTTCTTGTTCATAATTGGTATCAATCTTGATGATGGGACCGTCGTTGAGATTCAGAGGTGACTAAAGTCATTGACATTATTTAAGAGATGGCTCCAGGATTTAGTCTTAAATTGAATATACGTAAGACTCTAATCTTTTGATCTTTGTGTGATGACACTAAACATTGTAGGAAGTTGTTTCCTTCAGACATTGGGAGGCTAGTGTTTAGAGTGAAATTGCTTAGATGAGATGTTATTTGAGATGTAAGTTTTATCGAGGGGTGTCCATGAAGAGAGTTGTCAAGATTTTTTAGTCAACTCATCTTCTTCCACAATTAAGGAAGCCACATAGTGAAATTCTTCTACTTAGATCCTATATGGGTATCTCCAATTTATTTGTTGTCCTAAGGATGAGTCAACCAATTTACATGGTGGAGGCGTTTATTTGGTTTGATAAATAGTTATGAGGGGAGGTTGAAGACATTGTGGTTAGTGAAGATATTTTCTTTAAGGGCCTTCAATGGATGGTGGCTTATTTATCTATTAGAGTTGGGGTATTAAGTTTGTACGCATAAGTAGAGGTTGCTTCGTCGGATATACTGTCTTTTAGGGCCCACTCTTGGATGCTATGAGATTATATATTGAGAGACAGTGAGATATATTATATCCACATTCTCCCCCATTTTTGATAATGGCAACACATCTCTCAGGGAGGTGGTAAAAGATAAAATATATAAATATATTTTGAAGTGATTAAACTCCTCATCAAATGAGTAGAAAGCATACTCTAGTTCCTATGAGTGTATACTTCTCCCCCTTTGATATAATAAAAAATGCGAGAAAAGATGCTAGAAAGTGTTTGTAAATATGCAAGCACATAATTCACATAGGTCAAATATATTTAAATAAGAAGAAAAAAACCTTGATTTATTGATTCAAATACTATAATTCAAATACTGACAAAGAAAAAAAGGCTAAAATTATGAAGGTTTTAAAAAGTAGGAAAATGCAGAAAATTAAACACACATAATTGCTAAAAATAAAATACATAAGCGATACTACTCGTTGCCATTAACATCATCATCTTTTGAGGTGTTTGATGATATTCATGTTCTTTGCAAAGTTTTTAATAGCCAAAACATTTTGTTGAGAGATTTCCATAAGTCTATGTAGGATTGTATCATTTGTTGCGACTGGTTGGACTACATCCTCATCTTTATCCATAGATTTATTTTTGCTTAGTTCTCCTCAAAAGATGTGAACCCTCATGCCTGTTATGAATCTAATTGAAGATGGGAAGCTTCCTTTCAAATTAAACTACTTAAATGCAAATATTTATATGGCATAATATTTGATCACAAGGATACTCATCCCGATGCAATATAATATTATAGTTGTCATTTGAGAGGACGTGGTCCCTTTATGGTTACTAAACCAACAATTTCAAACAAATTAGGTTGACGGCATACTTCAGCATGTGATCTACTACAAATAAAGTTAAACAACAGGATTATCATATGGAGCTTTGATCACTGAGATATTAGTTGTTGCTGGAGTCAATACTATGGGATAATCAGTGGATCAAATCCACTCTAAGATCAAATAATTCTCTCTCAGTAGGATACACCATAGAAGGACAATTTAAACATTCTATCAAATTGATCATTATGAATGTCAATATTTATTCCTTTTACGGATGTCTTTAGGGATAGATCTTCAAACTTTAGGTTTGAGTAGAACTCTCTTACAATATTCGAGAACACTCGATTTGGTATTTTTGTGAAGAGTTCCTTTAATAACCCTTTGCACGTGTTCACATATCGCTTGAAGTTATTGGTAAATTTTTCTTTTATGACAACGGGTCATAGGACCTTATGGTTTGAATTTCTTAACTTCTCAGGAATGAACCTTCCAAGAACAATCTTCTTAAGGAAGAACTTCTAAATAGGATTTTCTTATTGGAGTCATAAATGATGAGACTTATGGCGTAAAGTAAAGTTCATATAAGAATACATAGAAGAAACAAGAAAAAGAGACAAAAAAACATATGATGTAAAAGAAGCCAATATGGTTTGTAGTGTTGCTTTTGTTCTGGGTTGGCCAAAGGCCCAAAGAAACTAAGGAACAAAGTAATGTCAATCCACTCCATATAACCCAAGGTATAAAATTCATCTCACACGAAATGCAGTGTGCACTTTTTTGATCTCTAATTTTCACTGCACTCATCTTGAATCTTGAGTTGACTTAGACATTGGAGTACTAACCATGCAGGTCCACCCTCACACCTCCATATTAGAGATCAACACCATTGGTTCTGGATTCATCATCACCAGTATAAACATAATTCTAGTTCTGGAATAGAATAGTGGCGCCGAATGTGGGAATTGACTCCTAATTACCGCAAAAATTTCGCAAATGGATCGTCCTAGTGTTGGTGTAAGCCCTAGAAGCCAATAGTTTTATTAGAACTGCGTAATCGTATCAGATTGTTTATTAACAATTAAGAGGCATTTCTTTATTATGTTTGTTTTTTTTTAATAATAAAGTCTCTAGAATAGCTAGTTCGTTTAATAAAATATCAAGTGTGACTTAATCATGAGATCCCATTAAACATAAGGACACTATTCTTAAAGTATTTGTAGTTGAGCTTTATCTTGAAGTGGGATAATATTAAAGCACTGGGACTATTATATGGAAAGATTGATGATCATATCTCATGGGTCATGGATAAAGAGCTGTCAATTCTTCACATATGTAT